TTTGAACAAACTTGGTAGACACTCACTAGAAGATGTTTCATGCCAAATATCTAAGCTCTAGCTCTTAGGGTTTTTTTAAAGAAGATATATAAAGTTTTTTCTTTCGGTTGTCATGGCAACCAGAATTCTGCATGGAATTAAATTCTTTCAACAATTTTTAAAGGTGACCACCAAAGGAACGTTCCTGTGAAGTTTGGATGAAATTGGCTTAGTGGTTTATGAGGAGATGTCATTTAAAGTAAAAGTTTACGGACGGACGGACGGACGACGGACGGACGCCGGACGAAAAGTGATCACAAAAGCTCACCCTGTCACTTTGTGACAGGTAAGCTAAAAAGTAAGTATAGTATCTTTATGTTGCCTATTTATTCTGTTATTCAAAATTTTATTATTCACATTAAATCCCATTATATAAATATATATTTTCCCTAAATAGTTTCATTTAATTCACGTGTTTATCGTTGTTTTTACTCTATTATAATTTGCTTTTAACTTTTTACGATAACTTTGCGTAAGGTGCATTAGGTAATAAGATGACTATTTAGTTTGCCTGACTTAAGCTTAAACAAATTTATTATACTTTGCCGATTAGCCTGTTCGCATGGCCCACAGAGTATTTCCCAAGTATACGTGTGTTTGAATATAGAAATAATAATAATATAAAATGTATCTAAAGTCATACTGTTCTTCATCTCGGTGTTGTTATATTTTCTGGCCCTTCGGGATCATAGATTTCAACACATTCAGTTTTGAAAATAGAATATACTGCTCAAGTCTACGCTTGGGTCTCGAGCAGGTTTGAAATTCCATTACTGTCCATGAGCATACACAGTTAAACCGTTTCTCTTATTTTGTCTCTTTGCCTTGCTGTCTTTAATTTCAAAAGAACCATTTAAAGTAATTTAACGCATAGATATTATCATCCCTTAAACGCAAGACAATCTTTCTACTAGTTTCTTTACACTTGTATCATCATTATCACTATACAGAATGACTTTGTTAGAAACCGTGAAGGGGTTAATATTGAGAGAGCAAACTGAAGGACTGCTTATATATTTGAAAGATTTAAAGAAAATAATAGAAGATAGACGAACATCACAGACTACTAATGTCTTAATAGATGAACTTGCCTTTACCCTTCAACCAAGTGATATACCATTTAAGGAATGTACACCGGCAAAAACAACCGGAAATGGAAACTGTCTGTTCAATACTGCATCAATCCATATACAAAGTATCATTCATCTTAGTAATTTGTGAAGTTTCATCATATATTTGTGATGGTTTGGTTTACATGTCTCCCTATTGCAGTTATAATAGAAAAGTAAATGTATGTTTTTTTTTCTAAATTGAAGGGAAACTATATAAAATGTTTCTAGCAAGACTATTCCAACACAGTGTGAAAGTGGCTGCATGATATAATGTAGATATTCTAAAACATGCATTTTATTTAATTTAAAGGTGATGAAACTTTGTCAGAGGTATTAAGAGCAGCAACAGCTATTACATTACATGGCTATGCTGAACAACTTGGACCGCATGAATGTTTTGAATCTGCAGACCATCAGTCAACATTTACATAGATAGTTTCAGAGCGATCAGTTTGACGGAAGATATAAGTCAACACTTCAATGTAGACGAGGCAATCGTAAAATCATCGTAAAATATCTTTAATTTAGATAAACGAACTGGAACAATGTTTGATCCAAACCATTTTGTGCCCATTTTACTAAATGAAAACAACCCAGCGAACGAATTTGACAGTGACAACGGTTACCTACTTAACTGTATGGAAAATACTTAGTTGTCAAGTGTTACACAAGACTTTGCCGTATCTAGTGATTCCCAAACAGATGCTAACAAAAAGTAAACCTCTTCAACATCTGGCATATCTGCCTCTAAAGTTAAGACACCGAACATCGACTTGCTCAATCGTGATACTGTCCGTCTTCAGCGAACTACAGAGAGAATGCAGACGCAACATTTTGAACAGGACGCTAAAGGCGAAATTAGTCAATCGAAAAAAAATTTCTCTGTTTACCGGCAATCCCATGCAGACAGAAGATAATCTAGTTCCCGGCGATATATCTGTGATTAATAGCGATGCACTAACAGTCGAAAAAAAGAGAATACCAGAAAACTGCTTGGACAAAGATTGTCCGGATACTACAATTGAATGTGAAACAAGATATCAATGCCAAAATGTTGCAACTGAGCTCACTGAAGACCCTATTGATTATGAAGACAAACATGTAACACGCCGTGGTAGCCTACCAGTTTGAGTGTGATGAATCTAAATCTATGGACCAGATGCCCCATAAAGCACTTCAAAAAATATAGGGTGGGTATTGATAAATAAGTCGCAAGTGACGAAGCCCTCGCTGAAATAGAAAATGAGGCTAAAAATAAATATGTTACCGAAAATAATGATAAATGTGACATAGATAAAAACACATTAACAGAGATGCCACTGGAGGAGTTCGGTGAAAGTGTTACAGAGGCTGAGACTCTATTATCTACGTGCACCAATGCTAATTTTGACGGGGATGACTTTGCAATCGATGAATATGTAGAGAAAGAACAAACCAAAATATTTAGGAAACCAGAAGAAAAAACTTCTTTTAGCAATACTGGGGTTTGCGATAATGAAATATATATTTTCGGGCAATATAAAACTGCCACATGATGAGCAGACTGAAATGGTTACCAAAATTCAATTTACACAAGCTACCAAAGATAACAATGCGTACAACAGTGATGAAAGTGATAACAAAACAGAGCTGCAGTCAAAGGTTGTCAAAGAAGAGCTAACTAAGACAGCGGATAAAGGAGATGATGACATATGCAGCAGTGACAAGTCAACATCTACGGACAATATGTTAAGAAGGAAACTAACTGCAAAGGTTACCACGAAGATCAACTGGCTTCTTGTAATTACAACACAGATGGTTATACAACAACCGCAACAGACAACGAAGTCAAGAATGAATTTGAAGATGATAGTCCAGTCTGATCAGGCAAAAATTTCTTCAAGATCGGAGAAAACCACAAACAATCAACATAAAGAACAGTTAGAAGAAACATCGTCCTCTGCGAGTGAAAGTAATGAAAATTTTGAAAGTGACGTAGAGTTTGAGATTGAATTGGAATGGGAATCTTCAGATGAAAGCGACGAAGAAATTGAAGATGCAGAAGAAAGTAGTAGTATTCAATGGCTTTCAAGATTGCATAAAATAGAAAATAAAGCTTTTAAGGACCAACGCCTGGTACAAGTAAAGCACTCTCTGCGGCAAATTCGCCACTCAACGTCTTTAATGAAATCTTTCCTGAAGAAATATTTCAACTAGTAGTAAAGTCAACAAATGATTATATTCCTATCTACACTGCACACAGGCACAATGACCCAAAACGTGACCCAGGTCGTATTACAAATCCATCGGAAGCAAAACAAGTTGCTCGAAAAGGCCCACTATATAAAGTTTCGCCCTTGTTGGAGAAGGTGCGCAGAAACAGCAATCGTCTTTACAATTTGCACCAAGAGGTGTCCATTGATGAGGCTATGATCAAGTGTCACGGCCAACACTGGGGCATTGTAGGAGCCCCAAATAAACCAGCCAAGCGTGGTTTCAAAATCTTTGTTTCCGCTGATGCAGTTCCAGGCTACACGTCAAACTTTTTAGTGTACATGAGGAAGCAAAAGGAGACTGGTCTTACACAGAAAGTAGTCAAAAATTTAACAGAAGAAATATACAACAGAAATCATATAATTTTACACGCCCGTTCCACTTGCACTGTCTCTTTTGCAGAATAACACATACCTATGTGGTTCGTTCAATGTTGGAAGGAAAAACTGGCCTCAAGATCTCAAAGAATCAAAAAAAATTGAAAAAGAAGGAAGACAAAGTCAAAAGCCTGAAAAGGGGAGAGTTTTTGACGAGACAGACAAAGGACAAAAAGCCAGTTGCCACAGTTTGGAAAGACAAGAGAGCCGTGTATAATCTTAGTACATGTTACAGCCCAGTTACAAACGAACGTTCAAATACCGTGACACGTAGGCACATAAATGAAGAAGGCAAGTGGGTAAAAGGAGACATTCCATGTTTCATCGTTAAAATATACTCTCTGATTCGATTGTTTGATGTAACCGCTTTCACTTGATAATAAAGAGTCGATAGTGGTTTAGTCAACCTTATGTTATATAGTAATTAAACGCAACGTAACCACTTTTACTTAATTTATGAATAGATATCAAAGCGGTTTCGTTGATCTTATATGCAGTAACATATTTAAGTATGATGTTGAATTGCCGGTTCTTTGTTTATTTGTTACAAGTGGGACTAAAAATATTTACTGATTTAACAAATTATCTAGTTGTTTTTTTAAAGCAAATGCATGCTACAATTAACAACCAAATCTTATATGCGACTGATTACAAACTATTTCATGAATTTAGACAGAATAACATTTAATTTCTGTAACACTATATGAGATAACCCTCTCAATTATTTACAGTACAAAATGACTGATGACGATCACCAAACAGACGGACATATTTTACACTCCTGACAATTTCCATGCTTTTTTCACAATTACATTGTCTAAAATTCCATCAAAGCTTGGAAGACAGTAATAAAAATGCTCTCTTAAATCAACACAGAAAGTAGTAGCTACGAATATGTAGAACATTTACTCCAGTTTGTTGATTTTTATTACATACAAGAGATTTAATCTCATCACTTACACTTATCATTTTACTAAAAACAAAAAAAAAAAAAATTAACAAACAAAACTTAATTTGTGATAAATTCAATACAAGATTTCTATTATGGGGTTGCATATGTATAAACTTATTAAATAAATATTTATTTTTAGAAATAAAACAAGCACCTATTTGTCTTTGCATATTTTCTTTAGCACCAATGATTTCAGTCTGCAAAGGCCAATGTAAACCCTCATTAAAATTAATACTGTTCATTAAATACGAGATAAACATTGAAGACTTTTGGCATAAAACATACTATAAAACTGGAGGCCACACTTTCGAAATATCTACATTAAAAACAGTTTTGCCAGCCAAATTTTCGCTTATTCCTCATATCAGTTTTGATAAATCTATATGGTTGTTACTTAGTAAACATTTGTTTATCTGTTAAAATCTTCATTTCTTCAATTCACGAACTTTAATCACTTTCAATTTTCTTTTTTTTTACAGTATGTTTCAAAGTCAAAAGTCTCAAACCTCTCAATATAGAATACTTTATAAAATAATGACTAGCAAGTGCTTCATATTCATAAAACTTATTCAAGTTAGTAAAAAAGTCAAAACAAACCTTTATAATACATAATATCATTGTAGAGCCTTTTATCATTTTTGTTTCAGGAAATTTAAAATTACACAAAATTAACCCTTAAAGTTTCTCTCTAGGGAAAGCCTTCATCAAAATTCCATCTTTAGATTTCAGTGTTGCTGCAAGTTGTCGTTCTACTTTATGAGTAGGGTGTAGTTCCAATTTAAATCTGAAAATATTTCATAAATAAATAAAATTTATTATAGTATAATATATTATATAAATAACACATGGCTGTTGGGGTGATCAAGGGTATTGCGAACCTTGTGAACACGAGAACTGGTATATTACCCTGAGGCGCAGTCTATAATACAGAAAGACCTACTACTACTAGATTGATAAAGTATGCAGTCAAGGAAATAAATAGAATGCATATCATTTTTACAATTTAATACAAATACTCAAAATAATAAACTTAACAAAAACAGTTCAAGAATGATTTTAAATACATTTCTACATAAAGTTGAGACACAAAACACATCTATAATTCTTTAAATATCAAATTTGAAGCCTTTTTAACAATAATTTCTATCTATTTGATAGTGATCCATATTTTTATCAAGTTATTTTTCATTGTTCAAATTCTTATGACTTTGCTGAATACGGAGTTATGCAAGAGTTATGTGCCCCAGAGTAATATAAGAAATATTCCTTGGGGGATATATCCTAGGAGGGTGATATTCAATCAGAACACATAATAAGTCTATGAGAGTTTTACATTGAAGGATATACTGAGGTATAATAAAAATAAATGTACCAAGCAATCTTATTGGTGGCAGTGAAATGGTATAACGTGCAATTCAAACCTGTATAAAATCATAATTCTTCGATGCAGATGTAAGTCATGTAGTATAATCCTAGCTGTACCATTTTATGATGAAATAAGTGATGCTTCATGTCAAATGCTTAAGCTACTGAAATGCATGTAATATGTAAATCATTTGGTTCTGATATTTACCTGTGTACAATTCTGGCAATCACTGTTTTCATTTCATTCATGGCAAAGTTTTGTCCAATACAATTTCTAGGTCCTGCTGAGAAAGGCACGAAACTGAATGGATCCCTTTCATCATTGCGTTCAGGTGAAAATCTGTCTGGGTCAAATTTCTGTAAAACAGTACACATAAATCTTCTTTGTATTGAATAGCCTAAAAAGCATGCATGGGAGTTAATGTATTTGTTTTCAACTATTTTTAGATAATGGTACCATAGAGGCAAATGAACTTCCTTGTGGCAAATACTTGCTATCAATAAAAAAAAAGAAAGGAGAGCTGCTTTGGGTACAATAATATAATTTTGTGAATATAACAACAGATCATATGGCTTTAAAATTCAAGATATAAATCAGTTATTATATTTTGTATATTATCTTTATATATGAGATGTAAATCAGTCATTAACTTTTTTATATTATCTACTTTATGTCAGTAAACCCTACATCTGAATTAGACCAGATAAAAATATAGAAAGCCAGTGCACAATGACAGCAATTCAGGTTTTCATTTAATACGAGTATGCCATATAACAAAATCACACTATTCAATGAGCTAATAGAGTGTTATAAACCATAGCAGGTGGCAATAAAATACATTATAGAACTTACCAAGGGATCCTCCCACAAGGTTGGATTGGTAAGTACATTTACAATAACAATGTTAACTGTTGTACCGACTGGTATGTCGTAACCTTCCAACGTCATAGGTTCATCTGTCACCCTTTGTATAAATGTAACAGGTGGATTCAAGCGTAATGATTCTTTAATCACTTGTGTCAGGTATGTAAGCTTTGGCAAGTCCTCCCTAGATTAACACATGAAGCAAAAACTATTTCAACATCGAAAACTAAATAAGGCAATCCGACATATTAAATCTTACATTATAACCTGTCAGGTTAAAAAACAACCAGTAACATAAGTGTTAAAAAACAATCAGTCAAATAAATTCTTGAGTGAGTGACAAGCAGTCAAATAAAGCTTTCATTTAACAGCAAATGGAACTAAGATATTTAGATGCAATCAGTATTTAAATCTCAAGTGAAAACCAGTGGAAAAATCTTTAGTGACAACCAGTAAAATTAAGTCTTTATTTTTTTCATTTTTTTTTTTCATTGGGCTTTACATCGCACCAACACACTATAGGTCATATTGCAACTTCCAAGCTTTAATGGTGGAGGAAGAAGGCCTCAGGTGCCCCTCTGTGCGTTATTTCAGGCACAAAATGGCACTAAAGTAGAACCACTGAAATTCCATAAGCTAGGTGGTTAGCTTTCTAACATGAAGAATCCTAGGATGCTTGCAATGTCAGAACCTACAGGATGAAAATAAGTCTTAAGTGACAACTAATGAGATGATTACACTTCACATATTTTCAATAAAATTAAGTTTTAAGTTAACAGTAACATATTTGTCCGCTTCCAACAAGTTCAAATCAATCAAACCTTTGCCCCATTCAAAGAAAAAATGCATAAATATTTTAATTTCTGTATTTTTCATGACAATTTTGGCATTTTTTACATTATTTTAAGACAGAAAAGGAAAACCATTTTGAATTTTATATCATACAACTAGTGTAGAGGTTGCATAGCCACCAACTAAGGTGCCTTTTAGTTCATCATTTCAGGCACACATATGCACCCACTAATAAACAACCTTAATATATTCTAACTGGATAAGGTTTGTCACATAAAAAAACAAAGATATTTCTTTACAATAGAATGTTGTCATTGTCTCTGCCCTCTAATACTTCACTAATCTCTTTGTATACAGCATCTTGAACATCAGGATGTCTAGCTATTTCATACAGTGTCCAAGATGTCCCACTTGTTGTGGTATCATGCCCTAAAAACAAATGCCAAAGGAAAGTAAACATACATGAACGATCAAAACCATTTTTAAAAGATCAACCAAATTTTGCTAAGTCCTGTAGTCAATTAAATTTTAGGCCTCAACAACCCTTTAGTATCATAAAATAGATATATGTGTCAAAAGCTAATCATAAAACTCTTAGATTTCCAGATTTGTATTATCTAGTCCAATTAAGATTTTGACTGTTTCCTCAATAGATTTACACATGATATTGAGAAAGAAGGAAGAGTTGCACAGTGAAGAAATTGTTTATTAGAAAACCTGGTCAATAAATATGGTGCATAAAAACTAAAAACAAAGCTAGAAATGTGTCCCAAACCTCACTTGCTGCCACAGTAGAATATTTACACACTGATGCTTTTTTTTATAAAAGCCAAGTGCTATATTTATAAGTGATATTAGTATTATAACTATAAGTTATAAAAACTTATAACACTTGTTTTTGATTATGGATAACTGTGACTTTGATCTATTAATTTCAAATATAATAAGGGTTTCCTACAAGCAATTGGCAATGCCAAATTTTCATTAACTTACTTCTTAAAGTATTGATAAAACGAAGAATTTACATCAAGTGTTAATGTGATCATAACTGTTAAACTAATGACCTCAAAATCAATAATAATAATCCTATAGTCATGACATAACTCCACACAAAATTTTAGGACAAAGAGTTTTCTGATTATTGGTTGGTTGTCCAGGCCAAATTGACTTCGACATTTGACCTTATGTGTATGCTTTAAATGCATTACCTTCAAATAAAAATGTATCAACTTCATTTCTTATTTCTGCAGATGACAATCCAGTCCCATTGTCATCTTTAGCTGTCAGTAGAATACCTAGGAAATCCTTACATTTTGTCTCTTTACCTTTCTTGGCATCTGAAATCTGGAAAAAATAAACTTTAAACATTCATTCCTAACATTTCATTATAAATTGGAAATATAACTGGAACATAGGCATTGCAACAAAACTTTAATCACATACCTGTGTTGCCACTTTTGCAATTATATAAAAGTGGTAATGCACAGTAGTGCATATATTTTTATGTAACGTCATTTGCATTATACAAACATAGTGTAAAGAGTAAAGACGCACTAAATGTTAGCATTTCATAGTTTTTAGGTATGTCAATGAAAAATGATTATTTTTCACTTTATACAGCATTTATTTCTGGGTCTGCAATAAATAGAATATTATATTAAAAATTATTTTTCAACTTGTTCAATAAATTTAGTATTGAACTTAAACTCATTAAATATCCTCTATTCATTTTTAGCCTAACTGACTTTGACTTTTGTCTTACTTGCCTTTAACTGTACTTAAGTATAAAGGTCCATGTACAAATGTAAGGTTTCTACATATAAAATTATCTATGATATTGTTATATAAAAGGAAGGATTATGATAATGGTAACAGTGACAGACAGAAGGAAAGAAAACACTGGCATCTTAAACTATAGTCCCTTACAAATTCTAGGAAGCATTAAGTTCTTGAATGTAGCCATTAAATTAAGTGTAGGCAAATTGGGGGAAACAAATTTGCAAAAATAGTCATATAATGGATGTTGATTGTCTTTTGGCATTTTGAACTCCATAATGGAAGATAATAACCTGGGTTTTCAAACTTGAAAAGCATTTCCTGTCATTGCAAACAGGTCTATTTTTGGGGCTTACCTTGACACATAATTAACAATAATGCTTAACAGAAAATCAAGGAAAAAGAATATCATAACTTAAATGATCATTAAAGACTCCATTACCAGAGTTTGTTTTCTTTCTTGGATAATGTTCTCAGCCACTTTATGGACAAGATCACAGGCACGTTTCCATCGTCTACCATTTGATGTGAGATAATAGATAAAGTCTGGATACAACCAAAATTTACTGTAAGAGAACAAAATTCCAAAGTTAAAAAAGTACAATGGCTTCTTTTCTTAATTTCTTTACATTAAAACGTATTTAATCTGAATTTCTTTACATTAAAACATGTAATCAGGTTAAAATGCAACTTATCTCAAGACTTTGTCGGAACGGATAACAAAAGGGTGCATTGCATCTTTTACGAAAAAAAATACAGGATTAAAATATCACCTATAAACAAAATACAAATTTAAGGAAATCATTTATCACCAACATACCATTGTTTGTCAACAAAATACAGGATTAAGAAAGTATCTGTTAACAAAATACATGTTTCATAAGTTCATGTCAACAAAATAAAAATAACATGTGATAAAATATGGGACAAATTCTTATCATCTATGTAGCATAAAAAGAACATAACATTAAATTCCACTATTTACCAACATCATTTAGTAAAATACCTGAAAATCAATATTTGCATGTCTTAATTATATACTCACAAAAATCTATCTGCAAGAAGATCATTTAATTCCCACACTGCCTGGACATAGGGCTGCTTCATTCTGAAGTGAAGACAATGTAACATGCATTAGTTTATATATTTTTGTTTTTATCTTTAAATGAATGTTTTGAATATTATTGATACATTATGCATATGTTGATTGCAAGATAAAAAAAGAAGGTGGCAACGGTTCAAAACTGCAGCATGATAAACATTGCAACTTTACTTCCACAGACAAGATCTGTATTATTCATCTAAATCCATATAAATGAACGAATCTGTGAGGAAAATGTTTCTTTTGATGACACTTTATTTCAAAATTTGCCAAAACTACGGTGTGTGGGTAAAGTTGTTATTATCATCATTTCATTGATAGTTAGAACAAAATGAAGTCAGTCGGTATATTTTCATTGGATAGAGAACCTTGATATTTAAGATGAAAATAATTTCTTATAAATAAGGATGGCAATGAGTCACTGGTTAAATAATATTTCAAACAGACTCCAAAACTAGGGCAGAAAAACCAAACAGACCCCATAACTAGGGCAGAAAAACCAAACAGACTCCATAACTAGCACAGACAAGAGGGCCATGATGGCCCTGAGGTCGCTCACCTGTATATAGGCCCCCCACCCCCGGGCCAATTTTTACCCAAGGGCTTTTATTTGTTTATTTGAACAGACTTGGTAGACACCCATAAGAAGATGTTTCATGCTAAACATCTAAGTTCTAGCTCATTGGCATTTTTAAAAGAAGATTTTTAAAGTTTTTACTATACACATATAGTAGTTAAAAACAATGTCACCCCTGGGGCAGGGCCAGTTTTGACCCCCGGGCGTTTATTTTAACAAACTTTGTAGATATTTACTTAAAGATGTTTCATGCTTAATATCTAAACTCTAGCTATTTGGGTTTTTCCAAAGAAGATTTTTAAGTTTTTGCTATACACATATAAGGAAAATCAATGACCCCCCCCCCCAGGCGGAGCCAGTTTTGACCCCAGGGCTTTTATTTGAACATACTTGGTAGACACCCATTAGAACATGTTTCATGCTAAATATCTTAGCTCTAGCTCTTCGAGTTCTTTAAAAGATTTTTTAAGTTTTTACTATATGCATATAGGGAAAATCAATGACCCCCTGGGGCGGGGCCAATTTTGACCCCAGAGCTTTTATTTGAACAAACTTGGTAGACACTCATTAGAAGATGTTTCATGCTAAATATCTTAGCTCTAGCTCTTACGGTTCTTTAAAAGAAGATTTTTTAAGTTTTTACTATATGCATATAGGGAAAATCAATGACCCCCGGGGTGGGGCCAATTTTGACCCCAGGGCTTTAATTTGAACAAACTTGGTAGACACTCACTAGAAGATGTTTCATGCTTAATATCTTAGCTCTAGCTCTTTGGGTTCTTTAAAAGAAGATTTTTTAAGTTTTTACTTATATATGCATATAGGGTAAATCTATGACCCCCTGGGGCGGGGTCAATTTTGACCCCAGGGCTTTTATTTGAACAAACTTGGTAGACATTCACTAGAAGATGTTTCATGCCAAATATCTAAGCTCTAGCTCTTATGGTTCTTTAAAAGAAGATTTTTTAAGTTTTTACTATATGCATTTAGGGAAAATCAATGACCCCCGGGGCGGGGCCAATTTTGACCCCAGGGCTTTCATTTGAACAAACTTGGTAGACATTCACTAGAAGATGTTTCATGCTTAATATCTTAGCTCTAGCTCTTTGGGTTCTTTAAAAGAAGATTTTTTAAGTTTTTACTATATGCATATAGGGAAAATCAATGACCCCCTGGGTCGGGGCCAATTTTGACCCCAGGGCTTTTATTTGAACAAACTTGGTAGACATTCACTAGAAGATGTTTCATGCCAAATATCTAAGCTCTAGCTCTTACGGTTCTTTAAAAGAAGATTTTTTAAGTTTTTACTATATGCATATACTGGGAAAATCAATGACCCCCAGGGGCGGGGCCAATTTTGACCCCAGGTCTTTTATTTGAACAAACTTGGTAGACACTCACTAGAAGATGTTTCATGCCAAATATCTAAGCTCTAGCTCTTATGGTTTTTTAAAAGAAGATATTTAAAGTTTTTTCTTTTGGTTGCCATGGCAACCAGAGTTCTGCATGGAATTAAATTCTTTGAACAATTTTTAAAGGTGACCACCAAAGGAACATTCCTGTGAAGTTTGGATGAAATTGGCTCAGTGGTTTATGAGGAGATGTCATTTAAAGCAAAAGTTTACGGACGGACGGACGGACGGACGGACGACGGACGGACGACGGACGGACGGACGCCGGACGAAAAGCGATCACAAAAGCTCACCCTGTCACTTTGTGACAGGTGAGCTAAAAAACCAAACAGACTCCATAACTAGGGCAGAAAAACCAAACAGACTCCATAACTAGCGCAGAAAAACCAAACAGACTCTATAACTAAGGCAGAAAAACCAAACAGACTCCATAACTAGCGCAGAAAAACCAAACAGACTCCATAACTAAGGCAGAAAAACCAAACAGACTCCATAACTAAGGCAAAAAAACCAAACAGACTCCATAACTAGCGCAGAAAAACCAAACAGACTCCAAAACTAGCGCAGAAAAACCAAACAGACTCCATAACTAGGGCAGAAAAACCAAACAGACTCCATAACTAGCGCAGAAAAACCAAACAGACTCCATAACTAAGGCAGAAAAACCAAACAGACCCCATAACTAGGGCAGAAAAACCAAACAGACTCCATAACTAGGGCAAAAAAAACAAACAGACCCCATAACTAGCGCAGAAAAACCAAACAGACTCCATAACTAGGGCAGAAAAACCAAACAGACCCCATAACTAGGGCAGAAAAACCAACAGTCAGACAGATGTAAAAAATATGTTTAAATACAAATTTAATAAAACAATGAAAAAGATATGAGTACATACTTGGAAATTTGGCAATCACTCTTGTAAGAAAATGCACACTGTAATATAACATCTAGAGAAAACATGCAAGCATGTTCAAATATTTCAAAATATTCTTCCTTGTCTGCATATGCTTGTAGCTTATCCTGAAAAAAAACAAAAAAGGCTGTTTAACATTTAACTGTACAATACAAGAATATATTTGGTAAAGTTGAACCACCAGACCAAAGAGCTTTATTTAAATGGAGAGGAAGCTATATACAAATATGTATGCCGCCTTGCTATGTGTTATGACTGTTATCTAAGATCAAAAGAATTAACAAACAAAGGAGTTGAAAAAATGTAAAAAAAAGCAATAAATAAAGAGGATGTAATTTTGTTCTTAGTAAATGGGATGAAAAATGTATACATAAATAATGATACTGAAATGTAGAATAAAAGAACTTACAACAAATATGCTTGATGCTCTGTTCTTCACTTCTAGGTATGCTTTCAGGATGTCAAAATGGAAAGCTGGTGTTAACAGCCGACGGCTTCTAAACCATTTCTCTCCATTACTTATCAACAGACCTTCTCCCAACCAGGACATTATTAGACTGTATAGACTTCGGCTTTTTGGTGCTAAAGATAGAAACAATAAAAATAATAATTATGATATAAAATCCATAAAAATCTTGTAAAAAGCTGGCAAACTATGCTGCTTTTGATGCAGCTTGAATATAGATAAACATTATGCCAAAACAGTTTGTATGACTTTCTTTTTTTATCTCCACCTTCTAATTTTAGGTAATTGACATACTATAACAGATTATGTATTACATAATTATTATGTGACTTGTGTAATTGCAGAGGAAAGTTATTCAAGCAAATAAAATGTACACTTTGTTGTATTAGTCAGTCTTTCAAACTCCCATTAATCCATTTTTACTTATAATCACTTTTTTATGCTTTATTTTTTTTTAATACAGTAAACTCTCAAAACATCATTTATTTAGGTTTTATGTTTCAAAATGGTCATAAATGAACCATGTTTGAATATGGGCAATTGACAGTACCTGAGGATTTGAGGATGACCTTCACAGTGTCAGCATGCACTACATTGACCATTGGTAAAAAGGAACTCAGCCAGCCCAATGACAGTCGTGGTCTTTCTGTAACATTCTTAAACATCCACTCAAACGCTGCTTCATTTAAACCTGGCATCTACAATTTATTATGATACCAATGGTAAAAGGCACAAATTGATTTCAATTTAATTATGGCCACTCCTACCGTTCAGAAAATGTGTTTTTAAAATTTTACATTTTACATTTAGTAAGCACTGTAAATTTAGATAATATTATTTTCACAAGAGATCAAATTTCACTTACTTTGCATATTGAAGATTTTTCAAAAATAAATAAATGAGCATCTAAATACATTGTACCATAATTTGGAATTCACCAACAATTAACCTTGCCAATAAGTCAGATTAGTGTTGATTTTGTAAAATTTCAGCAACTGGAAATATCCAACATTTAAGTAAATAAATAGGGACTTAAAAGTATAATGTATGTATCTGTATTTAGGAACTTTATCTAAGAAAATCTGTGCAATGTGCCATCTCTTGAAAAATGAAAAGTAGATTGTTTGGCCGTTTCACCTCTCTTGACCGCTTAAGATGGGCTAAGTTTTAGATTCAGGAAGCATTTGAGGTGAAGATTGACCGCGAAACAGCAGGTGACTGTGAAAAATATGTATAAAATAGAGTTGATTTTTTCGTCAGGGACATCACAAAAATGGCCATTCAGGTCCGATGACTGCCGAAAAGGAGATGACCGTTCAATACAGATTAGGACTGTAGATGTAATATGACCAACATTGTTCGGGGCTTAATTCTCAATATCTCCAAAATAGATAATGGAGAGTTACCAAGGCAAAAAATACAAACCTAGAATAAGTACATTTAAAAAATAAGCATGTTAAGAATTAATAATATAGTTATGTGTGTATGATCATTTAAAATAATTTATAAAGTACCTGTCTAGAATTCCAAAGAGGAATTCTGTCTTCACTCCTGGTATTTTGCATAGGACTATTGCAGTTCTTCGGAACTTCAAGTACCACTGTAGAAACATCAGAAGAATGTAGCCTACAGCTATACTCAGCACTATAGTGGCCCATGATATTCCAAATAAAACCCATGGTCACATCTATTTTCACCTGAAATAAAGTTGATACCTCTATATCTTTCAGCACCTGGACAATCTTCACAGTGATTTCATGCAGCATATTTAATAGAGAAATTATTTTTCTCTTCTTAAAACCTTGCTGAACTACACAGAAAATACCTACCTATTGTGGAATGGGTGCCTTTTTTGCATTACTGAAACTGGAGATTGAAATTCTGTATAAAATATCCAAAATTCATCACAGTCTGGGAAATGTAGAAATTTGTACAGTAGACTCCCTACTTAAGACCACCCCGCTATTAAGGACCATTTTAAAAAAATGGGTTCAATTTGGTTATATTGATTTCCGAGAATTTTAAGAACCACCCAACTTTATCCACCTTTAAGACCACCAGATTTCAGTCCCAAATTCTTTATTTCTTTATTTTGAACCCCATTATTGAGACCACTTGATGTTAAAGTCATCAACTGTTCTATTAGGGCTGTCATTTGGGAATATCGCAATATTTGATATAATCATCAATATTCAATCCTCTGATACAAATTAATACCACATTTTAAATATTGATACAATTAAGGCTAAAAATCTTTTTTTTTAAAGGGAATATACCCACTCTAAAATTAGCCTAACTAAAGTGAAGACACTTTTTTTTAGTTTTTCATTGGGCTAACCCTTGAAACTTTTAAAGTCTTTTTCAAACAGTTTCAAGTTGACCCAAAAATAAACAGAAAAAACCACTTTTGGGTTAGGTTGCAGTAGTATTTGTAATGTCTATTGTAAATACATGTACAAGCAATTACATAACACCATGATTCCAATTTATAACACATATTTAAATGTTTTTCATTGTATCTATTGTATCAAAATTGATATATTGATTTATTGTTGATATTTGTCTCTTGATATATCAATACAAAATGTCCCATCAATGACAGCCCTAAATTGTCTCGATAAAAAATTTGTTGTTTTTATCTGCTTAAATGCTCTTAGGCAAGAACTTGATTTCACAAGGTGTCAAAAACTGTTGTTATTGGGTTTTAGTATGAAATTGGGTGTGAAAGTAAATTTTAGAGTCACTGTGGTTTAATGTTGCTTTTGTGAAGAATCAATTTCTTATATGATAGGTTAATTATGTATACATCATATGATAATGATTTCGAGACGTTTCGGCCCCAAGACGTATCGGCCACAAATTACCGAAGACGTTTCGGCCCCAGACGTTTCGGCCCTTTACCAAATCGGCCCCAGAATAAGTACTGTGTTTTAAACCGGTATATTAAAATTCATAGTTATAATAATCATAAATGACAATTTTCATAAAGTGGAAAGCCAATTTCCAAATACCTTGACTTTATATTACAACCATACATGAAAGAATTATGATACCTCTTATATATTTTACGTAAGATTAAATCTTAACCAAAACCATCGATCAAAGATTAGATACTTGTTGCATTTAATGTTGACTTCATTGTTTATAAATATCTCACAATGAATAGCTACTCGTAATTACTTCCTTGATAATGAAAAATCTAACACATTTAATTATCAGGAAAGGAAAGTTAGTTGTTCCTGCATGTGAAAATCGAAACATTCGGTCATGTAATTTTACAATGAAAAGAAAACAGAAGCCATATTATCTATAATTATTTTGTCACTGTCAACATTGTTTGATTTAACTAATTAATAAATTGATATGATTTATACTTTACTCTTTGATTCTGTACCGTCATTTAAAAAAAAATATCCATTCCTATAATATTTAACACGTGTTACAACTATTTTAGTTTTTTTTTAAAACATTTTACTGATCTTTCTTTTGAATTGGTGTATAATCTGGTTAATCTGGTTAATCAATCATTAAATCAGTATATAATTATATATAATTATAGGTGTAATAGGTGCAATATATTAATTTTTGGGAAATCCTTTTTTAAATTCTTTAAAGAATTAAAGTGTCATAATTGTTTAATTGTAATTAAATTAATTGTTGTTAATCAATTAAGAAATGTACTATATAGTAGGGCCGAAACGTCTCGTGGAAAAGGGCCGAAACGTCCAGGGGCCGATTTTTCCACTGGGGCCGATTTGGTTTGGGGCCGAAACGTCCTGTTTGCATGATAATCAACTGACCGATGCAGTACATTAGTACATGCTTAACAAGATCAGAAACTCTATCCAGAATTTAATCATTTAAGTTCTTATTGACCATTATCATTACAAAATACATGTAGTCAGAGACTTAGATCTCCGATGTAGCAGGGAAAATACATGAAAAATAGGGAAGTATTTGGAAGTAGCCTTATACACGTAACTCTTGCAACAACTGTGATTTTACAACAAAAAAAAGTATCTTCACACTGGCAATTTCACCCAATCACATGCATTTTATGATCAATACAAACTGAAGTCAAGGCTGAAATAAAAGCCCTTAGACTAGGAATTCATGTAGTCAGTTGGGGATTTGCTTTAAGTTAAATTTAAATTAAAAAATAAGAGATCATCTTATCTGATAATTTTCAACCTACTCATAAAATGACAGGACAAATAAAAGAATTCTTGTTATGTTGGTTAATTTGGAAATGTAAAACCAACACTGCTTCCCTCTGAAAAGCTTAATATATGACCTATCGCTTATTTTTAAATAAATAAAAAACAAAACGAACTTTGGTCTTGGTTACAAATGGCGTTGAGAAGCAAACAGGACATTTCGGCCCCAAACCAAATCGGCCCCAGTCGTAGACTGGTCCCCTGCGAACTTCTAAAAAGTACGACAGGAAACCTCCAGCGAATGCAGTTATTTCATTGGTTAATCGATATATGTAAACAAATATGGCTGCTGGTGGCTGAAGAGCGTACAGAAATTTAGTAATATTTCTGTTATTTTTACTTTTTCGAGAGGTTATATTTGCGAAATTTATTTTCAAAACCGTAATATGTTAAATAAGTAAAGGCATAATATTAATGAATACATTAGAGGACTGTTTATTTTCAGTCCTACTAAACACTGCTAAGGACTGCTAAGGACTGCTAAGGACCGCTAAGGACTGCTAAGGAGCCACACAGGACTACTAAAGAGGCACAAAGGACCTTCAAATACCTCCTAGGCCATTCTTATATTACATGGTATTATTTTTAGTGAAAAAAAAATTATAATTTTAAGAAAAAATATGATTTTGGTGAAAATTTTATGAGTTGTCGGGCGGGACCGCTAAGGGACTGATCAAGATACACAAAAAGACTGCTAGGGAGGCACAAAAGGACCTTAAAATAACCTCCTAGGGCATTCTTATAATACAAGGTAGTATGTTTTAGTGACAAAAAATGTATTATTTTAAGAAAAAATATCATTTTAGTGATAAAATTTATGTTTTTGAAGTGTCTTTTATTTTGTCGGGACCGCTAAGGACTGCTCCAGGAGTGTGCGAAAAGGACTGCTAGGCAGGCACAAAGACCTATAAATATTTCCTAGGAGGGCACAAAGGACCTTTTTAAAATAACTGTTGGGGCATTTTTGTATAATTCATGGTAGTATGTTTAGTGACAAAAAATGTATAATTTTTAGGAATAATATCATTATAGTGATAAAAATTCATGTTTTTGAAGAGTTGTCGGACCGCTAAGGACTGCTCAGGTGCACTAACAACTGCTAGGGAGGCACAAAGGACCTTTCAAATCCCCTCCTAGAATATCGTATTCTTATAATATATGGTAGTAAGTTAATAGACAAAAAAATGTATTATTGTAAGAAAAAATATAATTTTTGGTGATTTAGAATTTTATGCTTTCGATGAGTTGCCGGACCGCTAAGGACTGCTCAGGTTGCGGAAAAGGACTGCTAGGCAGGCACAAAGACCTATAAATATTTCCTAGGGAGGCACAAAGGACCTTAAAATAACTGTTGGGGCATTCTTTTAATTCATGGTAGTATGTTTTAGTGACAAAAAATGTATAATATTAAGAAAAAAATTATCATTTTAGTGATAAAATTTCATGTTTTTTGAAGAGTTGTCGGACCGCTAAGGACTGCT